TGTGTTTTTGTTCTGTTTGATTAATCTACTTTTAATGATCAGACATTTAAAAAGTACTGGCACCTGGTGTGTGTGTGTGTGTGTGTGTGTGTGTGATGTAGATGCTTGACCAAAGACCTTAGGCTAGAAGGGGCCTTGGGAGTCACCTCCTACCACATGCTCACTCACTGCCATCCAGCTGACCCTGCAGCTCAGGGCAGAGCCGTCCCTGTGGGTTTCCGAGGCTGTCACTCTGGATGGAGGCACACCACCTCTTCTTTCTCCCGTGGATTGGCTGGTGGATCTGCACCCCAACCTAATGGTTAGCAGCTCAATGGGCCCGGCTGCTACGTTAGCCGGGCCCATCGACCACATCCATCTAGCCAGGACCGAATCTTCCCAGAGTCGGCACATGTTCAAGAACTCCATGTGTATCTGTGCTCTTGTGGGGGAAGTTCTTCCTCCTGTCCACCCACACTCTTTCATGCTGAAACCTCTTAGTTTGCCCTCAGCACAGCGGGTCCTGGGTAAGCAAGGTCGGTGGGCTACTGAGCTCTCCTCGACTGTTTAAACCCCAGTCCTCACCCAATGCCCCAAGCAGAATCTGTAGCCCCCTGCCCCTGCAAGGCCTCCAAAGCAGAGGAAGAGCAAAATTCGAGGGAGCAGAAAGCCCCTAGCCACGAGAGGTTAAGCCCCCCCCGCGGGGTCTTCCAGGGAGGCAGCTCTCCTGTCCCTGCTGCTGTCCAGAGACAGGTTGCTCTGAGAACCACAGGCTCCTCACAGCTGTCACCTCGGGTATGACTCGGGCTGGCTCACCGGGGTCGGGGCTTGGTGCCAGTCAGGACTTACACTGCAAGGGCTCCCCGTTCACCATCCACTGGACAGTGGGCTTGGGGTTCCCGTTGGCGCGGCACACCAGCCTCCCGTCCTCGCCCGGAGCCAGGATGAGATTCTGGGGCTCGTCCAGCCAGTAGGGCGCAGCTAGAAGTCAAGGAGAGACGAAGACCAGGGAGTTAGCGGCCACGGGCTGGCTCTCCCCCAGAGACTCAGCCCCACGGGCTCCCCACTCGCCCTTGCCGCAGGCTCATCCTCAGAGAGCCCCTGAGGAGGCCTGCATCCAGCCGGTGGGCCTGGCTATTGCCAGTTCTCAGAACAATCATTCCAAACCCAGGCTGTGCGTTTGAATCCCCTGTGGAGTGTCAGGTACACAATGAC